TTTTGATCAATTTATTATTATATTTATTGGATGACTGTAAAAAGGGTGCGCTAGTGTGCAGTTACTTCAGGAATACAGAAAGAATAATATAAATACAGTAAACATTAAATATATTAATAAATAAAAAGTAATCACACCATGTTTTTAGTGTTTTCTTTCCTTTTTGGGTTTATCTGGAGAACCCAGGCCTAATAACAGGTTTTTCAAAGGTGTGTGTACAGGGCTGGGCTTGGATTTTTGCAAAGAAATTCTTGGTTAAAATTATAAGTGTGTCAATTACAGTATTAGAAACAAAACATTTTATTTAGTAAAGAAAACTTTGTTTATAATCGTAGATATTAAACATTTCATGTATTTATAGACAAGGTTTGCTCACATTGCTGCAGGGATTATGGACCACTCCTCCATACAGATGTTCAGATCCTTCAGGTTTCAGGGCTGTAACTCGGCAACATGGACCTTCAGCTCCCTCCAAAGATGTTTTGATTGGGTTCAGGTCTGCAGACTGGCTAGGCCACTTCAGGACCTGGAGCTGCTACTTATGAAGCCACTACTAAATCTTTTCTTTATTTGGATCCCATTAGTTCCCTCAAGGTGGTTGCTAGTCTTCCTGGGGTCCTAGAAATTTTTTTTAAATTATGTGGATTTAATATAAATTAAATACAGTACAAAAATAAATACCAAGTATTTGTGTTGGAAAACAAAACAGAAATACAAAAGACATTTTATAAAAAAGACTGAGGACAGTACAGAGTCACCTCACCAAGTGACCTTTGATTTTCCTTTTAAAGATTATTTTTTCATTTTTTTGTCTCTGAGATGTGATGGAAAACAATTCCCTGCATTTGGCCTCTGTTAAAATCAATACTTCTCATAGAAACTGAATTGTGCCTGAGGACCAGAAGAGAATCTGAGGGGGTTTCAGGCTCACCTCTCCACACAGTGCAATTAAAACTAGTTAAAAAAAAAACTAGTCAATCCACATTGAATTTATTTACTGACATCACTCATGCTGCTGTTCTGTTACCTGATGCAGACTGATGGTGTGTGTGAAAGAAGCAGACTGCACATTCCTTAAGTTGACACCGTATTTTACTGGAGTGAATCAGCATACATAACAGTGCCACACTCCCCAACCCCCCAGGTGGCAGTAATGACTCTCCTATCAGTTACTCTAACACAACAGCTGCCACTTTCTCACTGCGAAATTTGGTTTCACATCAATTTCCTTTTCCATTAATGGTGTTTCTTGAAGGTTACTATGAAGTATTTTGCGTTGTTTTTGAAATTACAACACACTTTGCAATTTATTTATATTGCAGATGCCGATTTATGGTTCATGGAGGCATTGACAGCTTCAGCCGTCTTATTGTGTACTTAAAAACCGCCACCAATAACCATACGTCAACGGTCTCTAACATGCTTTCTTGAAGCAGTCGGTATATATGGAGTGCCATCACGTGTTCGCTGTGATATAGGAGGAGAGAATGTCCAAGTGGCCCACTTCATGGTGTCCACCAGAGGCCCAAATAGGAATTCTCACCTCACAGGAAGAAGCACACACAACCACAGGTGATTTCCTTTAGTAAAACTGCAGCAAGTACCACCTTTAAACTTGTTTTCATTATTGGCCTTTTTAAAACTTCTGCTTTGGGTTTTTTTTTTTTTTTTCAGTTGCAGTTCTGTTACATTACTTTAGTAACATAGTTCATTGCCGGGAACAGTGGAATTATTGTTAGTAATGGTTCTGTACAGTAATATATTAATTTTGTGGACATTACATAGTATATGAAAACTGTTTGTTTATTCTTCTATGTCCATTTTGCTCATCTTGGGAGGATATTTATGTCATATATTTAATATGTTTACATGCAAGTAATTCATTACTTTATTTCTTGGTTTTTTGTGTATTTTTTTTTGTTCTCCAGGATAGAGAGATTGTGGAGAGATGTATTTGGAGTAGTTTTGGATCTGCTCTACACTACATTCTGCTACCTAGAGGCAGAAGGCCTACTCAACCCGGACAATTAGATGCAGCTGTATGTACCACTCTGGGCCTTTCTTCCACAAATTAACAGACATCTTTAGTTGTTCAACCATGGCTGGAACCACCATTGGCTGCACACAAAGAGGAACCAATCACCATACCTTCTATGGTCTCAAAACCAGCGTGAGGATGAAGAGGCCTACCAGGTTTGTAGAAGAAACAAATCTCAATGTTTCTGTCACAAGACTAAAAGGACCTAATTGAAATGAAGGTCAAAACACATGAACTAAAGCTATCAGGGGGCATGTAGGATTATTTAGCTGACCCAACATTTGTGTTTATCTTGGTTATAGTATTAAATTAGCTTTAGTTATACTTTAGACTTAAAACACTTATTAAATTAGGGCCCATAACTGTGTGTACAACACACATGGATCTGTGTTGTTATTTAGCAAGCTTTAGCAAATGCCATTTTAGTCTCAAGTGCTGAGAATTTATAAAAATTTACTCCTACTTTCAAATGTAAGTGTAACGGCAAGCTAAGAATCACTCTTACTCTCCGTTTAATATAAGACCGCTCCAGAAGTCTCTCAGGTGGTTAGGAGCTACCAGTAGGGGCTTGTGATGGACTGTAGAAACAGAAACGTGCAAATAATTCAGGACAGGAAGAATGTTTTTAAATTATTTGAAGTAGCGTACTTAATTAGATGGGGTCAGACATGAATAATCTTTATCGGCAAGTTACTGATGGATGTCATCTCACCACTAACTTTATGAAGCAATGCATTTTCAGCTATATTGAAGGGACATCAATAGTCCACAATTATGCCATTTACAGGTCCAAACACTGTCATGCATTTGATCGACTTCCCAACAAGACTCCTGTAATCCCATGCAAATAACCTGCATCGCAGAAGCAGTGGGTGCGATTAATGGCACTAATATAAAGATAAGCCTTCATTTCCAATGTAGCCTATGTACATAATGTATTCTCCTAAATATTGTTTTTGACAAATGTCTGTTGAATATTACCTCCTATTAGGTATTTCATCAATGTGAATTTATCTCAGAATATTCTTAAATAAGGAAAGCTATTCAGTGATTGGTGTTTGGCTACATCATCATCCACAATCCTTTTTGGGCACATCAAAGTGTCAACTTTTAAGCATATCTTTTAGCCTAGAAACTTTTTTTTTAAATTAAGTCAACTCTTAGCAGTGTTCTTACAAGTAATTCTGAAAAGCTTGATGAATATGGGTCCAGATTTTTTAAATATTAGATGTCCAAGAGTAAGAATTGATTTTTATGTAATATATGGATAAAGTTTTGTACTAAGGCCATTATTAAGATGATGTCCAACATACTGTGTAAAACAGAACAGGCTTGTAAGTAATGATCATTATTATAATAACATTTAATTTACCTATTCCCTAAGCCCAAGATGACATGCTGAAATGTATTTTTTTGTCTACAGCCGAAAGGTACTCACTTTACTGTCATGGCAAAAGAAAGAAAACCAACATTTAAAAAGAAATCACATTTTTAATAAGCAAAATTCAGGTGATTTTTCTTTTATTAAATGATTCAAACACAATCATTCTGAATTCATCATTGCAGCAGTATTACAAAGCTCAAAGATTAATGTTTAAGTTGAAGACTTTTTTCTTGGAATCAGAATTAAGGGTTTATCAATGATTTTTTTGAAAAAGATCTACCTAAACAGGGCAAGTGTTATGGTATTTCCACCCAATGTCTGTCTATTCTTCTTTACAACATGACCCTCAATTGACAGTTACTATTGATGGGTCAATGAGGCATCTTAAAGCCAAACTGTATTGATGCTGCGTTGATACTGTCTGAATACTGACACCTGTTGGACATTTAAGGACACTACAGGCAGCTGATTTGACACACTAAACTGAATTGATTTGATGACCTAGTACAGTGATATCATTTTAGTTATATTGTATTATTATGTTTAAATTGAGAATATCTTTGATGTTTTTAGATGCAGCCAATAAATTATCTAAACATACGCCATAAGGAGAAAATTTATGGTAAATGTGAATGAGGATGCTTGTGGACTAGGATTTTAAATCAGTTTTTAAAACAATAAGTGCAGTAAATACAGTGAGTAAACTAAGAGTCAATTTGAAATTAACTTTAATTCAGATAAGTTGAGTGATAATAGAGGAAAAGGATGACACAACGAGAAAATTAAAAATGCAATAGCTGAAACGTTCCTATTCCTTTTGCTGCTCCAAAGTTTTTGATCATTTTAATGATAAACTACAAAAGATGAGAATTTTTTTTTAGCAGATGCATCATGTTGACAGATACATTTTTAAACACAGTTTAGTGTGTCAGTCAGTTAGAAACAACTCCTGTAGCAGTCACAGTATTTTCTTCAAATGACATGCACCAACACAGCGTTTTGCTCTATGGGCACCGACGCATCGAGGTTGCTGGACCCATCACTAACAGTAAAATATTTCTTAAATTAATTGCAAATCTCTTTTAGGTTGACATGGACTTTGGCATTGACTGGGAAGGTCCACATGGTCACCACCCTGAAGGAGTGCCAGTGCCAGATGTTCAGGTTCCACGGCCCTTGACTGAAGGAGAATTGCAAAGACTACCAGATCCACAAGGACCTTTTTCTAATGTTCTGAATGTTTACAGTGAAGCAATTACCACACTGACAGACATATTTGGAGAGGTTTAAAAATTTCATTTTTTAATTTTAGTATGTTCAGACATTTAAGTTAAAGTTAAAGTAAGAGTAAAGTTAAACTAAGTTAAAGTTAATTATCAACATTTGTTGATAATAACCAGAACTAATGTCACATTTGATTTTGTATGTTGCAAAACCATAGCTGAACAGAAGGGTCTTAAAAGTATAAGGCAGTTTTCATATTTGCCAAAATTATTCTGCTCACATTTGAAATTGTTTCACGAATTTACGATGACCAAGTGTGTTGAGCTTAAAAAAAAAAAGAAGTTAAGTCAGTAATTAATTTGCAAAATGTTTTTATTAACAACTATGCCTTGTGAGCATGCATGCACAAGAAAGGTGCCTCACACAGAGTGGTCTGGTATTCAAAAATAAAATATCGTGACCTCCATATAACTAAATGAAAAGAATAATTTGTCTGTATCTCTACCAGCGCTTTGAACAAATACAATTAAATGATATCTGAACTTGCTGTGTCACTGTTTCTATTAGGGCTTGTGAACAGATAAAACTAAAGAGACCTGAACCTTTGTCTCTATCAGTGCTCAAATCTGACCGAATCCAGAGTAGGAGGAGGATATGCTTGCCATCAGGTCATCAACAAAGTCTTCATAGCTGGTTACGTTCTTTGACAGCTTCAGAGTCAAAAAACAAGTTGATGATTGTGGTAGGGCACAATTGATGAGTTCCACCTCCAAGTTTGAGGAAACCACACCCCAGCCAGTCCAGAATGTGAGCAAATTCTTTAGGACTTCCGGAGTGCCTTACAAAAAATACGAAAGGGAAAAAAATTTGACACACACACATACACTGACATTCACATACTACATAGAGCGAGTCTTACTCCAGAACAAGGGCAACGTACCATCTTCTATAAATTTCCGGAGGAAGGTCATTACTCTGCAATGGTCCTCCAAAGCGATTTTTGTCCTCATTGATGCCCCTCATCCCTTGGGGCCATTTTGATTTTTTTCCCAAAACCCATCTCCCAAAACATTTAAAAAATTTTAAGTTATTTAATATGAAATTAGTTTCAAAACCCCTGACAGATTTTAACAGTTTACCAAAAATAAACAAACCTGTTTTTTTCACGACTAAAAAAGGCCACAAAAAAGTTTTTTTTTTCCTCAAAATGTGCGGTGCCCCTATGGTGCGGTGCGCCCTATGTTTTTTGTAACTCCCGAATTTTGAGCCCACCCTCATTGAGGAGATGATGAAAAAGGGCTGAATGTAAGGAGACCAGGGTTTTTTTTTCCACTCATCACCATCGCTTTTAAAATATGTGACTCCTGCGGGGCCCATCTACAGTGATGTAAAAAACATGGGGAAAAAAAATTAACGCTGTCTTGCTGTTAAACCGTTTCGACATCGGTGTGAACCGGCCCCAAAGGCAGGTGCAGCAGAAGAGCAGTTTAAAAATCAAAGTCAATGGTTGACGCGTGTATAGGTGCAGAAAAAGGGGTCCCCGCGCGCTTTTTTGAGCAGCAGGCGCTGCGTCGGGAGCGTTTAAGCTCTGCGCACCCCCAAAACGCGCTGCTCTTGCTCAAAAGGAAAATTTTTGGGGAATTTTTTGGGCTGCGGGGCCCACGCCGCATCCCCCAAACAGAGAAGCTAAATCTGGGAGCTGACAGCGAGACAGACACACCCTCGGGAATTGACAAATGATATTAATGAAAATAAAAAAAAGGCGGGAGGGGATGGGAGAGTTTGGAAAGCGGGCCTGGGGCAGGTGTTTGTGGGGGAGCCCAGGGGGTTTTTTTTCCATGCATTCACCTTTCGCGGGCGGGCCCCATTCTCACAGCCGATGGAAAAAAAAGGTGAATCAAATAAAACCTGTCCCTCCCCCGGTTACCCCGGGGGGTTTCTGACAAAGGAACCCCCAACCACTCGACATCAGTGTGACGCGGGGGGTTCAAAGTACAGAAAGGGGCGCGAGGGGCGTGGGAGCGATGGAGACAAAGGGGAGACCACATTTTCCCGGGATAAGTGGAAGGCAGCCCCGGGGCCCAAATTTTACGCCACCTTTTGGGCGGATGGATTGTAGATGCTTGGACAAAACGTGTCTGCGGGGCTCGTTTTTCAAGCTTTAGAAAAACCCGGGCATTTTTTTCTGGGGAGCCGCCCCCCTGCAGGGGAAAGTGCCCTCTGACAGGAAGGGGGGGGAAAATTGGCATGTTTAAAATTTAGCCAGCTGTTTTATTCGGGAAACAGAGGATAGGGATTTTGATGGGTTTGTTTAAATTTAACTTTGAATAAATACTTAAATTTAAACACAATCAAAAACTCAGTTTTGCCCCCCGCTCTTTTTTTTTCTACCTAAAAAACTTAATTAAAACAGCACCCTCGGGCGGGTCTCCCCCTTTCCCCGCGGCGGCGGGCAGGTTTTTTTTTTATCAAAATAATCTAAACCCTTGCACCCCATATTGCTGTGATCAGTGGGAAAAATTTAGTTTTAATATGTTTTTTTTTTTTTTTTTTTTTTTTTTTTTTTTTTTTTTTTTTTTTTTTTAACTTTATTTAATTTCCCCCCAAAAATAAAAAACTTTTGTAGAAGATTTGGTCAAAAATCAAAAACAATATCAGCACTACTCTCACTTTTTATATAAGAGCCCCACCCTTGATTTTCTATGTCCATAGAAATTGTCCGTTAGAGTCCTTTTTTAACATTCCACTCCCAGTTTTTCCTTTGGTCCCCCCTTTCCCAAATGTTTTTTTGTAAAAAATTTGAATGGCTTCCCATCCATGTAATGCCCAAAAGGTCAAAATCAGAGTCCATGACTTTGCTATTAACGATTTCCTTTAAAGAAATGGAGGGGGGTTTCACATCCCCACCCATTTAAACCATAAGGGCCCTTTTTCCTTGCAACATTAACAGTGATTTTATAACATGTCATTTTTTTTCTGTGATTTAGGAATATTCCCAGAAAACATATCAGGGGGTTTTTCCCTGACACAATTTGACCAAAGCTGTAAATTTTTGGGGCACATACTTTTTTTCCCAAAAAATGACTGAATGAAAATCACTTTTCCCAAAAACAGTAAAAACCTGGGCCCACAGAAATTTTACATTTGAGGCAATTTGAAGAATTTCCCCGCTTGTACTTGCTAAAAATATAAGGAAAATATATAAAATTATCCCAAAATGTTATACTGCATTTTTTTAAAACTGTTACAGACGAAATTTTTAGATGAGGAGCAGGATTTTATCCCAAAAAAATTGCGTCCCTTATTTCACTTTTAAGTAAATTTTCCCCAGGATTTCCCCCAACCATGCCAGTTTGCCCCAAATTTAGCTGATAAAATCTCGGGAATAGAATTTTGATAAAAAAAGGTTTGTGGCCCCCTATTTTCAAAAGGGAAACCCTTTTTCCAGTCTATACGTGTCTGTTGGGTGTATCAATGTTTTTTTGCTTCCTTCATTAATAAGGCCCTAACTTGAAAAATATTTATAGAATTTTTCCTTTATTTGATAACCCGTACTGTGTTTTTAAAAAAACAAACGATTTGAATCCCCCAAAGTTCAAAGAGACCAAAAATTTCCCTAATTATGCCTGCTTTAGGGCCCAAACCCAAAAAAAACTCGAGCCTTTTGTCTCGGGGGCAGGAGATCTGGGTTGTCTAAAAAAGTGTTGAAAACCATTTTTTAAGCCGGGGGGGTTTTAAACCCCTTAACATTTTTCCCCAGCTTTTCCCATGCCCAAAAAGAAAATTACTTACAATGATTATCCTTCTTTTTTGGGTGGCAAGCGTTAAAAAACCGTCTTCCTACATGTTACAGGGGGAGCAGGTTTTACATAAAGTTTCAATTTTAAACCAAGGTGAATCAGGGGCCCCATGTATCCAGGCAGAAATGATTTTGGCTTGAAACAGATAGAGCTTTTTTTTTCGGGGTTTGGTAACCCCCCCCCCCTAAAGCTCGGGGAATTTGTAAAAACTCAAATTTTAAATTTTTGGGTTTTTTTTCCTTTCCTGCCCAGATAAGTCAAACCTTTGCTTTATTGAAAACCCTTAAATGTCTTTCTATTTCAAAATTTTACAAACAGAAAGGGCGTGGGGAATATATTTTTTTTAGGAAGGATGGACCATCTTAACAAATTTACCCCCCAAGGGAATGATTTTGGAAGAGCCCTCCATTTTGTCAGCTTTCTAAACCAAACCACGAGTCGGGCCCCACGATATTTTCCCTTATAACTTGGTTAAGGGTTGGTTTTAACTTTGTTTCCCTAAGTATACAAACCCGATGGGGCCCATCCAAAGGGTTTAATAAATTTAGGTTCCCCCCCCCCCGCCAAGCTTTTTCGGGTCTTTTATAACAGATTTTCAAATTTTCCTTTATACCCCCAGTTTATGTGACCAAAATCCTTAAAAAATTTAATCCCCCCCCGGGAAAAGAATCTTTTGGTTTTGTCAATGTCAGAAGAACGTCATTGCATAAAGCAGTTTTTTGTGCTTTTTTTTCCCCCAATTTTGACCCCTTTGAAACATCTGGATTTTGTCAAATTTCCATGCAAGAGGCTCAAGGGCCCAGAGCAAACAAGAGTGGTGAGAGTGGATTTACCTTGAGCTGTCCCTCTTCCCCTTTTTGGGAATGGGGAAAAACAGACCATTTGTTTTAAAACAAAAAGCTATTGGAGTGTTTTATATTATTCTAATCCATCTCATAAAAAACGGGGCCAAACCCCAAAACTTCTCATAATTTCAAACATATATTCCCCCTCCCAAAAAAATCAACGCCTTTTCCCGCTTTCCCTAAAAAAAACCAACCCTGGAATTTTGGGAAAAGGGTTTAGAATGGTAATATTTAAAAAAGGGGTCTTTTTATTTTAATACAATTCCCCCCTTAATAAAACCCGTTTGGTCTGCATCTACAATCGAGCATAAAACTTTTTTTAACCTTTGGAACTTTAAAAATTTTGAGAGTTTTTTATTTCCCCCCACCTAAAAAAGGTGATAGGCCTATAGGGTTAACATAAAATCAGGATTTTTTCTTTTTTAGATTTTGTTTTATATTAGCTCTGTACAAAGTCTCTGGGGAGTTTTAGTTCCTCGAACGATTTGTTGGAAAAATCTCCCAAGCAGCCCAAACTGCCCAATTTTTTTCCCCTTTATTACCTTTAAAAAAATCCCTTGGGAAAACCCTCTGCAACCCCGGGCTCTTCCCCGGGCTGAAGTGCAAAAAATAGCTTTATCTATTTCCCCTGCGTTATGGGAGAATCCAGCAAGTTAACCTGCTCCCCCAAAAATTTGGGGAAAAAGTTAAATCATTTAAGAAAAATCCGGGGTAACCCGGGTTGTCATTTTCAATCTCAGAGGGTATACAAAAATAGCGTAAAAAATCTTTGAAAAACTATCATTTTTTCTTACGATTTTCCATTTTTCTTGGGGGCCATTTTTAAACAACAATCGCCGTGAAAAAAAGATTTTGCAGGGGGCATTTTTTTTCAAGATGAGCCAAATATCGGGTTTGGTTTGGGTTTGCCGATTTAAAAAGTCTTTGTTTAGCAAAAAGAATATCTTTTTCACCTTAATCATTTTAGATTTTGGGGAGCTGTCCCCAGGCTTTTTTAAATTTATTTAATTTTTTTCTGTTTAGATTTAGTTTTCAGTAGAATTGATTTTCCCCAAATTTTTTAATATTATTCCCCAATTCCCAACTTTCCTTTCCTTTAAACGTTTTCCCTTTTTCCTTTTTGACTTGTGTATGAGATAATAAAACCCCGGGGAAAAAACTTTATAAAATATCCCATAAAATCTCCCAATCAAAATTTCTTTACTATCATTAGTTTCTAGATAAAATGTTGTTTGTTCATTAGGGAAAAGTACAAAAATTTTTCATCCCAAAAAAGATATGTGCTCATTCCCCCAAAAAAGAAAACCCCCCCCCTGATCGATCCAATATGTCTTAAAGCTGCATAAC